CAGTTTAGTGTCCCTGCTTACCAATTTTAATTAGGTCTATTTTTTTTTTGCTTTTGATTTGTCTAAGATCATGATTGCTACCCTTGCCTTTTTTACTTTGGCTTAAGAATAATAGATTCTGCTCCAGCCCTTTAACTCTATGTGTGGATTTCTGTTTCATGTGTCTTTTGTAAACAACGTATTGTTTGATTCTGGTTTCTGAGTCATTATGCTGTCCACTTCTATTCCTGTTCACATTTGCAGTTATGATTGCTATGTATTTCCTTCCATCCTATTTTCTTCTGTTTATTTTTCTTGCTCTTTTTTAATCCTGTCCCTCCTCAAAAATTTGTTTTGCTTCTGACCACTGCCTCCTTTAATTTGCTCTCACTTTTATCACCCTCTCCCACATTTATTATCCCTTTTCCCTCTTATTTTTCTTTCAGGTAAGATAGATTTCTATACCTAACTCAATGTGTTTATGTATTCTTTCCTCTGAACCAATTCTGATAATATTGAGATTTAAGCATTGCACACCCCTCCATTGTGAAAATTCTTCTTTGCATCCTTTTATGGGAGAAAATTTGCCCCATTCAACCTCTCCCTTCTTTCTTCTCCCAGTACATTCTCTTTCTCCCCTTCATTTTTTTTTTTTTTTTGGAGATCATTCTAATATAATCAACTCTGCCTTCTCTCTATGTAAACTTCTTGTCACTTCCCTATTAATGATAATGTTCTTCAGAGTTGAATGTATCATCTTCCCATGCAGGAATGTAAACAATTTACCTTTATTGAATTCTTTATGATTCTTTTTTATGTTTACCTTTTTATGCTTCTCTTGAGTCTTGTGTTTGAATGTCTATTTATTCAGCTTTATTTTCAGCAGGGATGCTTGAAAGTCCTCTATTTCATTCAATATGCATTTTTCCTCCTGAAGAATTATACTCAATTTTGCTGGGTAGTTTATTCTTGGTTATAATCCTAGCTCCTTTTCTTTCTGGAATATTATATCCTAAGCCTCCCACTCTTTTAATGTGGAAACTACTAAATCTTGTGTTATCCTGATTGTGGCTCCATAGTATTTGATTTGTTTCCTGGCTGCTTGAAGTATTTTACTTTTGACATGGGAGTTCTGGAATTTGGCTATAATATACCTGAGAGTTTTCATTATGGAATCTCTTTCAGGATGTGAGCAGTGAATTCTTTCAATTTCCATTTTAGCCTGTGGATCTAAGATATCAGAGCAGTTTTCCTTGACAATTTCTTTAAATATGAATGTGTAGGCTCTTTTTTTTAAAATCATGACTTTCAGGTAGTCTAGTAATTCTTAAATTATTTCTCCTTGATCTATTTTTGTCAGTTGTTTTTTTCCAATGAAACATTTCACATTTTCTTTTATTTTTCCATTTTTTTTACTTTGTCATATTGTTTCTTGATATCTCATGGAGTCATTAGTTTCTACTTGCCCAATTTTAATTTTAGAGAATTATTATCTTCAGTGAGATTTTGTACCTCTTTTTCCATTTGACCAATTCTGCTATTTATTTAAGGAGTTCTTTTCTTCAGTGAATTTTTGTGCCTCCTTTACTATTAGGTCAGTTCTGTTTTCTGAAGTGTTATTTTCTTTAAATGTTTTTTTGTGTCCCTCTTTTAGCAAGACATGTTTTGTAGCTCTTTTCACACTGTTGTCTTCTTCTGAGTTTGTTTTGGTCTTCTCTGTCATCATAGGAGCTTTTTATAGTCCAATTCTTTTTTTTTTTTTTTTGGTTTGTTTATTTTTTTCTGTCCTATTTCTTTCTTTCTTTCTTTCTTTTTTTTTTTCAGGCAATTGGGGTCAAATGACTTGCCCAGGGTCACACAGCTAGTAAGTGTCAAGTGTTTGGTCTGAGGCTGGATTTGAATGCAGGTCCTCCTGATTTCAGGGTCGGTGCTCTATCCACTGTGCCACCTAGCTTCCCCCTGTCCTACTTCTTGACTTTGAACTTCATGTTAAAATTGGATTCTATTCACTGGCAGATGATGAGGCTCTGTCTCAAGATTTAGGTTTTTTTGTACTGCTGTTTTCAGAACTAGTTCTGGGGAGTCTGCAATTTTTAATGCTTCTGAGGTGTTGTAATCTTTGGAGAGGTATAGTCACTGTTTTCTTGGTCTTGCTCTGTCTTTACAGCCACAAGCCTTGCAGCCATAAGCACTAGTACTCTACTTTGCCTTATAGCTGTGACCAGAGTTCTCTGCTCCCATGTAACCAACCAATAGCTCTCCTCTCTACTCTGGAACTATGACCCGTAACTATGGATGGGCAATAGAATTGCCAATCAGCACCAGCTGTACCCATTGCCTGCAAAGGGTCCCCTATATTCTCTTTCTGACCAGTTATCCAATCCCCTTATCATTTGTAAGATGAGAGCTCCTGAAGCAACTGCTGCTGCTGCTATGGCTGCTGTTACCTCTTATACATGTGTGGACTCAGGACCCTGGTGTCATAGACTTTTCCTGCCAACTTCATAAGTTTTCTTAGACTGGGATAATGTCTTACCCTGACCTTTTGTTGGCTCTGCCACTCCAAAATTTGATTTGAGGTGTTATTTTAACATTTTGGAGAGGAATGTTGGAAGAATTCAGCTGGGTGGCTGCCCCTATTCTTTCATCTTGGTTCCCTACCCTCTTGCCATAAATATGAATCATTTTTTTAAAGCACAAAAGAGAACAGAAGAAAGAGTAGAAGAAAACAATGACAAGCATGTGGGAAAATCTTTAAAATCAATTGCTAAATATATTACATATTTAAATGGAAAAGTAAGCTATTTGTTATAGGGATTTGCAGTTGCATGTACAATTCTTTTTTCTACTTTGTATATGGAAATGACTTCTTTTGGTGTTTGTTAAGTTCTGAAATATTAAAAAATATATTTATACAAATGATCTCTGCATTCAAGATAAAAGTTTGCTCAAAGAAGAAGAATATACAGTTTTACACAAACAAATATGCTACCAAGTAGAATATGATAGGAATAAAGGAGAAATTCAGACACATTGACTTAGGAAAATAAGGTAAAAGAAAATACTGAGAATGTCAGGGAAGGGTTCCTAGAGGATTTAAATCCTAAGTGGAATATTGTAGGAAGAGAAGGATTTCAACTAGTTACACTAAGAAGGAAGTACATTGAAGGCACAGATGATGGCTTGTATGACTCATAAAAGCAATGTATGATGAAATCAGGGAAAAGTCAAATAATCCAGGATGGCAAGGGAGATAGACTGGAGCCAGATTGTGGAAGCCATTAAATATAAGACTAAAGATTTTGTATTTTATCCTATATGCAATAGAAAGTCATTAATTTTTTTATAGTGAAGTGGCATGTTCAAGAGCTGTATTGGGGGGGTGACATTTTGACAGTTGTGTGTTGAATGGACTGGACAGGTGAGGGGGTGAAGGTAAGCAGATGAGGAGGTAGAATCTAGAACATGGGCTCTAATTGGATGTGGAGGGTGAAAAAGAGGGGAACATCAGAGATGGTTTCAAGATTTCAATACTGAACTAGAAGGATGAAGCTACCAATAAAAAATAGGGACATTTGGCAGAAAGGACAAGGTGTTTTTTTGGGGGGGGGATGGAGGAAGATGATGAGTTCTGTTTGAGATATTTTAAGTTTGAGATGTTAGAATGTAAAGATGGAACTTTACGAAATCGGTTTTTGATCCAAAATTGAATATATATATGAGAGTGTTCAATTTTTTTTCAGTTGTGTCTGACTCTTCATGACTCCATTTGGGGTTTTCTTGGCAAAGATACTAAATATACACATGTATATATATACCCATGTAAACACACTGAAATACCATTATTCAGTAGAATAGACCTGGTCCTGGGAAGGTAGTTGATGGGGTGGGAATCCTTACTCCCCTCCAGAAAATAGAAGTGGCTTCCCTAAGGCAGAGGCATGTGGGAGTTCCACATGCTTGTACGTGGCTTGAGAGGGAGAACCAGAGAGCAAATTTTTTTCAAGCTAAAGAAATAATATCAGAGATACTGAAAGACCTTCTCCAGAGGCTCACAAAATAAGCAGACATGTACATCACCACTGGACTTAAGAAAGGCACCCCAGCTTTCAAGGCTGTCTCATAGGTAAATATGAATTCAGTAATCCCAAGTTCAAAAGTTAGAGAGTTTGGGTAAACAGGACTCCTAGAGAAAGATTTCCTGACTCAACAATATTTCTTGGGGAAAGAACATTGCAATATATTTCCTGTATGTGTTCTAGATAGATGGCAAAGTCAGTTGATTTATCCAGATAGTGAGTCTGCTGGAAAGAGGATTGCTTGCTTAGCTTCCTCAAAGCATGCTTGCTGTCTGAGGTGAGCCAAAGGATAACACATGAGCAATAGAGAGAATACAATCTTCCTTAAGGTCCACTCTAGGATTGAAGCTGGTCTATGAGGACCCAAGTCTTTGTAGAAGGGCCCTGAGCCATAGGTTAAATAAGGAAAAAATTTCTCAACAGTCAGAGCTATCCAAAAATTGAATGGGTTACTTCTAGAGGTAAGGAGTTCCCATCACTAGAAGCCTTTGACCACAGACTGGATTGCTGCTTTTGCTGGCATGTTATAGAGGGAATCCTTGGTCAGATACATGTTAGATCCATCCCTAATTTGTGATGCTATGACTCTGTGAGACAGAAATAGACAATTCATTCCTCTAAATTCACAATGTAGTAGTTTGCTATGTCAGCAAATAATGACGCTGTATTATTCACTAATGGTGGCCTTTCTATTCTCCCTGAATAGATTGGAAGTTCCTTATATTCAGAGACTGTATTAGACCTTTTTTTTTTGAAACCCACAGGGCTTCAAACAATGCTAGCTAGATAATAGGTACCCAGCAAAAACCAAATTGTTCCTATTAATGGATCCTGTGGTAACAATGAATTAAAGTGTTTGATGAGATATGCCCATTTCCATTTCTAATTTTAGACCTGTGCTATGAGATTATTTTTATAGCATTTTGGATTTCCTTTCTTTAGGTATCATACAGACTTTTTGAAGACATGGGACTCTTTGAAACTTTTAAAATTCCTGTAAGGGAATTTATGAATTATTTTCATGCCCTGGAGAATGGATATCGGGATATTCCTTGTAAGTACATCTAGTTATGGTAGTGGAAAATAAGATTTTTAATTTCCAACTATTAAGGTTAAAACTATGAATAATTAAAGACGATAAAACATGCTAGCTTATTCCTTAGTAATAACAGTATAAGAATATGTAAAGGCTCTGTGATTTCATCTGTAGAAGGAACTCTAAATGTGGGTATTTTCTTCAAGAACATCACTTACAAATGTTATGATTTCATAGATTAGATGTAGGGTATTTTCTTAGAAATATGTAGATTAGTACCTGTATCAATCAGAGTTTTAGTCTTTCAGAATTATTTTCTATAGAACATTATTACTATACAAATTAGAACCATTGATTTTATGCTTAACCTTTTCTTTTGTAAAATAATTCTTAAAGTTTTATGCTTAAGATTATATCTGGGTTAATTTTATAAAAAAGTAAAAATACATAAGGGAGAAAGATAAAAATAAAGGAGGCTGACCAGGCTAATCAATCCATAGCTGATATATGAGTGAGGTCGAACAAAGAACTGTTGTAGGCATCATAAAAAATAACAAGTAAGATACTATACTTCTCTTCAATTATTCAAAATCAATTTGCGGAAACAGCATTGCTACATAAAATAACTGAGGATCTGATTTACAAAGTAATATTAAAACACATGCATGTGGTAGAAAGCAAGTGCAAAAGTACTTTTGAAGAATTGTGGTGAATCATGAATATGGATTATCAGAGAGGGCAGATGAAGCATTGCAAGGAGTGACTATGGCACATATAATACCAATATAGAAATAAGTGAATCAACCTTGATCAAGATGGCAGAGTGAGTTATTGCTTTTCTCTGATTCATCACTGCATGCCCCCTCAAAAGATCAAGAAATAGACCAAGTAAAATAATTAAAATTATAAAAAGAAAAAAAACAGTAAAGATAAAGATTTTAAAAGACAAGGCAATTTTTAAATATAAAAAGAAGAAATTTCACAATAGTTTCATGCCTAAGAGAAAACATATAGGGACAAAGAGATATACCAAGTTTAAAAAAGATTGGAGGAGGGTTGGAGAAGTTGTTGAATTTATATTTCATGGGATATAACCTACATTCCCTTACATGCAAAACATAAATGAGGATGTGTACCAGAAAAAAAGTTGCTTGGGCAATGAGTGAAGAGAGCAAAGAATCATGGGAAAGTAGAGATCAACTCCCTCCTAGACTGGGTTTCAGAGGAGAGGGCAAAATATATTATCATATCTCATGCCCTCCCTGAATTTTGAGGAAAGGGTAGGGGCAATTTGAGAGGAGGAAGGTAGCAGGAGTTGGAGTTTACCTCAGGAAGAATGAAACTGAGCTATATTCTTTTTTTCAATTTTTTTTCCCAATAATATATAAAAACAATCAATTTTTTTTCAAATTTTCAGTTCCAAATTCTCTCCCTCTTCCCACATTGAGAAGACAAGCAATTTGACATAGGTTATACATGTGTAGTTATGCAAAACATATTTCCATGTAAGTCATGCTATGAAAGAAAAAAAATAGACCAACAAACCCCAGGAAAAAATAAAGTAAAGCAAAAGTACCTTCAATAATCATTCAAGCTCCACCAGTTCTTTCTCTGGAGATGGATAGCACCTTTTATCATAAGTCCTCCAGAACTGTCTTGGATCATTGTATTGCTGAGACAATCATCACAATCACAGTACATCATCATACAGTATTGCTTTTACTGTACACAATGTTTTTCTGGTTCTGCTCATTTAACTTTGCATCAGTTCAATTCTTCCCAGATTTTCTGAGAGCATTCTACTCATCCTTTCTCATAGCACATCCTTTTTTATAACATGCCATCACAAATATGCAACAACATGTTCAGCCATTCCCCAATTGAGGGACATCCCCTGAATTTCCAATTCTTTGCCACCACTAAAAGAGCTGCTTTAAATATTTTTGTACATATAGGTCCTTTTCCTTTTTTTATTTCTTTGGGATAGTAGTACTATTGCTTGGTCAAAGGATATACATGGTTTTATAGCCCAGTGGGCATAGTTCCAAATTACTGAGCTATATTCTTTTTTTGTTTATTTTGTTTTTTAATTTTTTTAATTTATTTTTAGTTTGCAACATTAACTTCCACAAGAATTTGAGTTTTAAATTATCTCCCCCTCCCATTTCTTCCCCCGTCCCTACAAGATGGCATACAATCTGATGTAGGCTCTACATGCATTCATGTTAAACATATTTTCCAATTAGTCATGATGTAAAGAAAAATTAGAACTAATGGGAGGAACCACAAGAATGAAGCAATAAAACAAAACAACAAAGGAAAAGGAGAGCAAATAGTATGCTTCCATCTGCATTCAGACTCCATAATTCTTTCTCTGGGTGTGGATAGCAATTTCCATCTTGAGTCTTTTGGAGTTGTCTTAGATTCTTGCATTGTTGTAAAGAGCCAAGTCTATCAAAGTCAGTCATGTCATAATGTGGCTGTTACTGTGTGCAATTTTCTCCTGGTTCTGCTCATTTCACTCTGCATCAGTTCATGTAAGTCTTTCCAAGTTCTTTTTTGAAGTCTGCCTGCTCATCACATCTTATAGCACAATAGTATTCCATTACATTTATATACCACAATTTGTTCAGCCATTCCCCAGTTGATGGGCATCCCCTCAATTTCCAATTCTTTGCCACCACAAAAAGATCTGCTATGAACATTTTTGTGCATGTGGGTCCTTTCCCCACTTTTATGATCCTTTTGAATTACAGAGCTAGAAGTGGTATTGCTGGGTCAAAAATATGCACAATTTTATAGCCCTTTGGGCATAGTTCCAAATTGCTCTCCAACTTATTGGATCATTTCACAACTCCACCAACAATGTATAAGTGTTTCAATTTTCGCACATCTTTTCCAACATTTATCATTGTCCTGTTTTGTTATGTTAGCCAATCTGATAGGTGTGATGTGGTACCTCAGAGTCATTTTGATTTGCATTTCTCTGATCAATAGTGATTTAGAACATTTTTTCATGACTATAGATAGCTTTAATTTCGTCCTCGGAGAACTGCTCATTCATATCCTTTGACCATTTATCAATTGGGGAATAACTTGTATTCTTATAAATTTGACTTAGTTCACTATATGTTTCAGAAATAAGGCCTTTATCAGAGACACTGGTTGTAAAAATTCTTTTCCAGTTTTCTGCTTCCCTCCTAATCTTGGATGCATTGGCTTTATTTGTGCAAATATTTTTCAATTTAATGTAATCAAAATTATTCATTTTGCATTTCATAATGTTCTCTATCTCTTATTTGTTTATAAATTCTTCCCTTGTCCATAGATCTGAAAAACAAACTATTCCTTGTTCTTCTAGTTTGCTTATAATATCAGTCTTTATATCTAAATCATGTACCCATTTTGACTTTAACTTGGTATAGGGTATAAGATATTGGTCTATGCCCAGTTTCTGCCATACATTTTCCCAGTTTTCCCAGAAGTTTTTGCTAAATAGTGATTTCTTATTCCTGAAGTTGGAGTCCTTGGTTTTATTAAATAGTAGATTAATATAGTCATTGACTGTTGTGTCTTGCATACTTAACCTATTCCACTGATCCACCACTCTATTTCTTAGCCAGTACCAAGTTGTTTTGATGATTGCTGCTTTATAATACAATTTAAGATCATGTAGAGATAGACCACCTTTCCTTGCATTTCTTTTCATTAGTTCCTTTGATATTCTGGTCTTTTTGTTCTTCCAACTGAATTTTGTTATTGTTCTCTCTAACTCTGTAAAATAATTTTTGGTAGTTTGATTGGTATGGTATTGAATAAATAAATTAATTTAGGCAGAATTGTCATTTTTATTATATTAGCTCACACTACCATGAGCAACTGATAATTTCCCAATTATTTAGATCTGACTTTATTTGTGTAAAAAGTGTTTTGCAATTTTGTTCATATAGTTCCTGGTTTTGTTTTGGCAGGTAGACTCCCAAATATTTTATAGTGTCTACAGTAATTTTAAATGGAATTTCTCTTTCTGTTTCATGCTGCTGGGCTTTGTTAGTAATATATAGAAACATCTATGATTCATGTGGGTTTATTTTATAGCCTGCAATTTTGCTGAATTCATTATTTCAAGTAATTTTTACTTGATTCTCTAGAATTTTCTAAATATACCATCATATCATCTGCAAAGAGTGACAGTTTTGTTTCTTCTTTGTCTATCCTAATTCCTTCATTTTTTTCTTCTCTTAATTGTTACCGCTAACATTTCTTGCACAATATTGAATAACAGTAGTGATAATGGACATCCTTGTTTCACCTCCAATCTTATTGCAAATGCTTCTAGTTTATCCTCATTGCATATAATGCTTGCTGATAGTTTTGATAGATGCTATCTGTCATTTTAAGGAAGATTTCATTTATTCCTATGCTCTCTAGTGTTTTTAATAGTAATGGGTGTTGTAGTTTGTCAAATGCTTTTTCTGCATCTATTGAGATAATAATATGATTTCTGTTAGTTTTGTTATTGATATGGTCAACTGTGCTGATATTTTTCCTGATAATGAACCAGCCCTGCATTCCTGGTATAAATCCTACCTGGTCAAAGTATATTATTTTTGTGATAGGTTGCTGTAATCTGTTTGCTAATATTTTATTTAAAATTTTTGCCTCTATATTTTTAGGAAAATTGGTCTATAATTTTCTTTCTCTGTTTTGGCTCTTCCTGGTTTAGGTATCAGTACCATATTTGTGTCATAAAAAGAATTTGGTAGAACTCCTTCACTTATTTTCCCAAATAGTTTATATAGTATTAGAATGAGTTGTTCTTTAAACATTTGATATAATTCTCTTGTAAATAGATGTGGCCATGGAGATTTTTTCTTAAGGAGTTCATTGATAGTTTGTTAAATTTCTTTTTCTGAAATGGGGTTGTTTAAGTATTTTTTTCCTCATGTTATTCTGGGCAACTGAGAGTTTTGTAAATATTCATCCATTTAACTAAGATTGTCAAATATATTGGCATACAGTTGGGCAAAGTAGCTCCTAATTATTGTTTTGATTTCCTCTTCATTGGTGGTGAATTCACTCTTTTCCTTTGTGATGCTGGCCATTTGGTTTTCTTCTTTCTTCTTTTAAATCAAATTAACCAAAGGTTTATCTATTTTATTGTTTTTTTTCATAACCAGCTCTTAGTTTTATTTATTAGTTAAATAGTTTTCTTAATTTAAATTTTATTAATCTCTCCTTTGGTTTTCAGAATTTCTAATTTGGTATTTAATTGAGGATTTTCAGTTTGTTATTCTTTCTAGCTTTTTTAATTGCATACCCAATTCATTGAGCTCTTCTTTCTCTATTTTATTCATATGAATATTTAGAAATATAAAACTTCTTCTAAGGACCACTTTCACTGCATCCCATAAGTTTTAGTATGTTGTTTCATTATTGTCATTCTCTTGGATGAAGTTATTAATTGTTTCTTTGATTTACTGTTTGACTCTCTCATTCTTTAGGATTAGATTATTTAGTTTCCAATTAATTTTTAGTCCATTTTTCCATGGTCCTTTATTACATGTAATTTTTATTACACAGTGATCTGAAAAGGGTGCATTTAATATTTCTGCCTTTCTCTATTGGATTGTGAGGTTTTTATGCCCTAGTACAAGGTCAATTTTTTGTGTAGGTGCCATGTATTGCTGAGGAAAAATGTATATCCCTTTCTGTTCCCATTTAGTTTTCTTCAGAGGTCAACCATATTTAACATTTCTAAGATTCTATTGCTCTCCTTAATTTCTTTCTTGTTTATTTTGTGGTCAGATTTATCTAGTTCTGAGAGGGGAGGTTGAGGTCTGCAACTAGTATAGTTTTGCTGTCTATTTCTTCCTGTATCTCCCTTAACTTCTTTAAGAATTTGGCTACTATACTGCTTGGTGCATATATGTTTAATAATGGTATTACTTCATTATCTATGATACCTTTTATCAGGATGTTGTTTCCTTCTTTATCTCTTTTAATTAGATCTATTTTTGCTTTTGCTTTGTCTGAGATCAGGATTGCTACCCTTGCTTTTTTTTACTTTAGCTGAAGCATAATATATTTTGCTCCAGCCTTTTACGTTTACTCCGTGTGTATTCCTCTGCTTCAAATATGTTTTTTTGTAAACAACATATTGTAGGATTATGATTTTTAATACACTCTGCTATCAATTTACATTTTATGAGAGAGTTCATCCCATTCACATTCACAGTTATGATTACTATCTGTGATTTCCTCTCTATACTATCCCCCCCATTTGTGCTTTTTTCTCTCCTTTTTCTCTTTCCCTCCTCAGCAGAGTTTTACTTTCGACCACCACCTCCCTCAGTCTGCCCCCTACCCTTTTCTTTTCCCTTTACCCTTTCTACTTCTTATAGGGTAAGTTAGATGCCTATACCTAACTGTTTATTCTATTCCCTCTTTGAACTAAATCTGATGAGAGTAAGGTTTAAACAATGCTCATCCCCCTTCCTTCTTTCCCTCTACTGTATTTGGTTTTTGTACGTTTTCATTGATATAATTTATCCTTGTCTGTCTCCTCCTTCTTCTCCCAGTACAATCCATTTTTATCACTTAATAAGATTTTTTACCATCACATCAAAGTCAACTTAAACACACACCCTCTGTCTAAGTATGCCCTTTTTAAATGTCATAATGTCATTACAGTTTTTAAGAGTTAAAAATGTCATCTTCCTTTGTAGAGATGTAAATAGTTTGCCCTTATTAATAATAATAATATGTTGTGGTGGTGGTTGTTGTTTCTTTCCTGCTTACCTTTTTATGCCTCTCTTGAGTCTTGTATTTGAAGGTCAAATTTTCTGTTGAGCTCTGGTCTTTTCATCAGGAAGCTTTGGAAGTCCCCTATTTTATTGAATATCCATCTCCTCCTCTGAAAGATTATGCTCAGTTTTGCTGGGGAGTTCATCCTTGGTTGTAATCCAAGCTCCTTTGCCTCATAGAATATTATATTCCATGCCCTCTGATCTCTCAATGTAGAATCTGCAAGGTCCTGTGTAATCCTGACTGGTTCCATGATATTTAAATTGTTTCTTTCTGGCTGCTTGCAGTATTTTCTCTTTGATCTCATAATTTTCTGATTTAGCTACTATATTCCTTGGCATTTGCAATTTGGGTTCTCTTTCAGGAGTGATTGGTGGATTCTTTCAATGACTAATTTACCCTCTGGTCCTAGGACCTCAGGGCAGTTTTCTTTGATGATTTCCTAAAGGATGTTGTCCAGGCCCTTTTTTTCATCATGGTTTTCAGTTAGACCAATAGTTTTTAATTTGTCTTTCCTGGATCTATTTTCCAGGTCAGTTGTTTTACCAAAGAGGTATTTTACACTGAGCTATATTCTTAAGTAAATTAGGGTAGGTACAACAGGCAAGAGGCAAAAGGTTTCATTCAATAGGAGTGGATAATATCTTCTCCAAGCTAGGGCTTCACTTTTAATGTAATTGTTGCTGGTGGTTCTTCATTCTCAAAGAGGACCAATGACATCAGGAGGATGATATCTCGATTTGCAAGTGAATTGAATTTAAGTGAGGCAAGGCTGTGCAAAGACATCAGCCCCACTGTGTCCTCCAGAGTCATCTGAATCCTGTGTCAAAACATAGGTCAAGATGACTGGAGATGTCCCTGGATGCAGTGGGACCTTGGCCTTTTTAAGCTAAGGTCCTTCCCAGGTTTCAGTTTGTCAGAGGCAACACCCATTCAGTGATTTAAGGCTAGGTAAGAATTGAGGCAAAAGATGCCCTAGTTTGCTTACTCAAAAGAATCATTCTCAGAAAGGAAGATCCTAAGAAAGGCAGAGGTAAAGAGGGACTCCATCCCAGGTTTAGGAAATAGCCTATTGCATAAGAAGCATTAAGACATTAATAACTGCATTCTGTCCTAGGAGAAAAGGTTGGAGTATGTCTTAACTCCATGGGATATCCAGTGTGAAAGGTGGGTGGAGGATGTGAAGATATAAGTCTAGAGTTAGGATATTCTGGCCTCAAGATGGACTTATGGTGAAATCAGAAAATTGAACTAAAACCAGTTCCTGTGATATAATGCAAGGTGACTTCCACCTCATTCCACCATCTATAATAAATTGGGAAAATCAGGGGGCAGCTAGGTGGTGAAGTGGATAGAGCATCAGCCCTGGATTCAGGAGGACCTGAGTTCAAATTCGGCCTCAGACACATGACACTTACTAGCTGCGTGACCCTGGACAAGTCACTTAACCCCATTGCCTAGCCAAAAAAACAAAACAAAACAAAAAAAGAACCCTAAAATTAAATTCAAGTCTTCACCTTGCCATTTACTAATCGTTGACCCTGAGCAGGTTGCCTACAGTAGTTTCGTGGCCTTAGTTTTTATTTTTATAAGTGGAGATAATAATGTACTACCTACTTCACTGAGTTATTGTGAGGATCAGATGAAGTCACATATATAAAATGTTGTGCAGAGCTTTAAACTTGAAATGACAAATATTATTAATAATATTTATTGATAATACACTGATTATTAAAGATTAATAACTAAACATAGGTTAGTTTTCAGGTGTTTCTATTATGATAGATAGTTACAGAGTACCTTGGGATGGTATGTAACATAAGTAGATTTTGATAGGGAAATTGAGTGAAAAAATCAATTTTAGCATGGAAAAGTGACTAAATAGTACAAATTCATGTGGGGCATATCAAAGTAAGGAATCCTGGGTCCTTAAGTTTTTCTATTAAAATAAGCAAACAAAAAAACCCTTAAATAAGCAAACAATAATCTTAAATATGTATGTCAATCCTCTGTCTCATTGTGCTTAATTTGGAGTACTCTTCTGGAGGAGCCTTCCATGCTCCCAAAGTCATGTGTTGACCCTTTGTTCTGAGCATTTGTAAAGAGTGGTGGCCAGGAAAGGTCTTATGAAAGTAGAAAAGTCATGTCTTCTTTCAGAATTTCATTTTTCTCACCTATTAAAATAAAATCAAATAAAGGAAGCTATTGGACTAGATAATTTCAAAGGCCCATCTGGCCCTAAGTCCTATGGTTTTATGACTTAACTGTAGCATTTAATGTATTTTTATATTTTTTTCCTAATCTGTGTTCTCTGTAGGAACATGTAAACAAAAAGAATGAAAGTTCTGTTCAGTCATAGTTTCAGATATGGTCCTACATTCATAGATTACTTATGTACTTGGACTCTTGTCTGTCAATAGACATTTTTATATCTACCCTTATAATAAGTACTGTGAGCACCAGTCATTTTTGTTGCTATAGATAATATAAAATAATGTTCCACTAATCAATGCATTTGTCCATTTTATGTTGGTTGATTTTTAATTAGACTTGAATTATTTATCCAGCAGATGTCACTCTTGGTCCTTGGACAAAAACAGCATTAGGTCAACATAGATTCATTTGTTCTGGTTGCAGATACAATAAGATAAGTGTACCTTTTTGTTTTTCTTTTACAGATCACAACAGAGTCCATGCCACTGATGTTTTACATGCTGTTTGGTATCTTACTACTCAGCCTATTCCAGGCCTCTCCACTGTGATTAATGACCATGGATCAGCAAGTGATTCAGGTTTGTTCTCTCTTACAAGTAGTTTGCATCTTAGTTGAAAGACTAAGCAAAATTCAAAATTTACTATTATTTGTGTATTTAAGGACTCTAGGTTTGGGTGTTAAGAGCCAGATTAGATTGGTGGTTCAAAATCAGAGCAAAGACAAATGCTATCATTTTTGTGTGTGTATGTATGTGTGCACTGAATGATGACATTTAAATGATGCCATTTTAAATATCTCTTCTCAGATTCTGATAGTGGAATCACACATGGACACATGGGATATGTATTTTCAAAAATGTATTCAGCAGCTGATGATAAATATGGATGCCTGGCTGGCAATATCCCTGCCCTAGAGCTGATGGCTCTCTATGTGGCTGCAGCCATGCATGATTATGATCATCCAGGAAGGACAAATGCTTTTCTGGTTGCAACTAGTGCACCTCAGGTAAATGTCTGCCTCAAAAGTAGAATAATTACATCATATTAGAGATTCTTTTGAATATTTGTTCGTATAATGTTGCCTATTTGTCTTGGGTACCAGGTTAATATTCACCACAATATTTTCACTGTCTGTAGTAGTAATCTCATATGCTATGATTATACAGAAAGATCATGTTACCCTATATAGCTGGAAGAAATATTATCAGTTATCAAATCTGACTGTTTTGTTTTACAGTGGTTAAAATTTGTTTTTCATGTGAATATACTTACTTTCAAATGAAAGTTTCATGGATGAGCACATGCAGCTGTCCGTATTTCATGTTCCTTTTTAGTTATTCAATTCCCTTCCAATGAAGAATATAAAGTCCAAATAAATCTTAAAGGCATGTGGGATTCTTTTTTAGGTCAACAGTTCTCAGAAGTGCCTTTCAAAGAAGATTAGATTGATAAAATAATACATTAAATAGTTAAAGAAAAATTTCCTGAAGCATTAGAACAAGAGGGGAAAGTAGAAATAGAAAAAATCCACTGATCATCACCTAAAGGAGATCCTATGAGGAAAACCCACAGGAATATTATAGTCAAATCCTGAAACCCATAGCTCAAGGATGAAATATTACAAGCAACAAGAAAAAAAAACAATTTAAATATAGTGGGTGCCACAATTAGAATCAAACAAGACCTAGCATAAAAGACCACAGATCTTGGAACTCTGTGTATTAAAGAACAAAAGAACTGACTTTCTAGCTGAAAATATCATACCCAGCAAAGCTAAGCATAATCATGAATGAAAAAAAAGGGTATTTAATGAACTCTCAGACTTTCAGAATTTTGTTAAAAAAAAACAACAACTTGAACTTAATAAAAGATTTGATATACAAGAGCCAAGAGAACTATGTGGCACATACCAAAGATTAATTACAAGGGACTCAATAACAACAGACTGTTTACCTTTTATGTATGTAAAATGTAAAACATATATCTAAGATTGTTGTTAGTAACTGGATAGTTCATAAGGAAGATTGGGGTAGACCTGAGTATGATATGACTTTATGAAGTAAAACAATTTAGGAATAGCTAAAAATAATAATTATCTTACAAATGAGGTGACAGAGGAGGAACCAACATAGAGGAATTAGATGGGGGATGAGGGCTGTTAGTTCTGGAAACCTACTTTCATTGAGAATAGGTTCAAGAGAGAACAATACATATATATCTAGAAGAATATAAAAGTCTTCTAAATTCAGAAAGAAATAAAATGCTAAAGGGATAGGGAGAGGGAGAGGATCAGGGAGGGATCTTTAGAGGGGAGGGTGAGGGAATAGGTCAAAGAAAGGTATAAAAGGGTATTTAGATTTATGAAAATGGGAAGATTGGGGAAGGATCCTTGGAGGGGGCATAGGTTAAGTAATAGGAGGGCAAGGTAGTGGGGAGAAGTAAAGTAGAAAAGTCAGGAGGGATAGGAAATAAGAGATATGCACAAACAAAAACAAAGATAAGCAGTAGAATTTGTTAGGGAAAGTACGTGTCTATATATGTATTTATGTACATATATATGTTTATGTGTATGTATATATCTATATTTATATATAAATATATCCACATTTAATTGTAGCCTTCTGGGGTGGTGCAAGAAAGGGAGGGAAAAAAACAAAGTAAAAAGCGCACAGCAGAGAACAAAAGAAATCTTACAAGGAAGCAAAGAAAAGGTAGACAGCTTTCAACACAATGCATAGTATTTATTATATAGACTTTCTTGAAATGGAAATTTATTACTATATATTGCGAATCCTCCCTTCTGTGCACATGACATGCCTTTTTTCTTATTTTCTATTTGCTTAAATTTTTTAGGTATATAATTTGTTTCTTTTTCTTTTCTCTGTTGTGTATTTAAGTTATAGTTTGCAGTTCATCTCTAACATAGTTTTAGAGAATTGTCTGAGACACATAGGGATTAATTGACTTGTCTATAATCACAAAATTGGTAAATGTTTATAGTGAAATTTGAACCCATGTCTTCCTGCCTCCAAGTATAAAAAATCTATCCATTATGCCAAACTTCTTCTATTATCTTTCTTATGTATTGTAAGATCTATGTTTTCCTTCTAAAAAATCCTCATTCAGAATAACTTCTTTCAAAATTAATTATATGTAAATTGTATGTGTGCCTATATATATATACATATATATATATACACATACATACATGTCTATGTGGGTTTTATACATGTGGCTTTTGAGAGAAATTGATACACATCTCTGGAACTTTGCCTCTATCCAAAGGAGACTATGATTCCTGACTTGAGAGCAAAGAAGGGTCATGACACTGGCCACTCTTTCCTTCAATCTCTGAGAAGAGTACTATCCTGGAATTTTATCTGTTGGTCTCCTAAATATTCCTGATCTTAGGGGCATAATTTTGGTTCAAAAAATACTCCACTTCCATGGTCCCTCTTGTGAGGCAAGGGTTACTCTAAGTTTACATTCACAGATTTAATTCCTTCCTGCCCAATTCCAATTATACAAAAGTCCATCACAGATAGTGAATAGTGAGTAAACTATTTATCCAAGCAAAGAGAAATTGAAGTTATGTAGGTTAGAATATGCCAAAAAAAAATACACGTAAGTGAATGAGCTCTTTAGATGCAAGTGAGATATCTGCTCAATGAAGAAAGAGCCTTGTCTCACCAAAAGGGAAAGTTTCCAAGGAAACAAACTGACAGTTGGGCATTATTATCTTCATATGTTGATCAGGACCAAAATATCCTCCATTGGTCTTCCTCTGCCTCCTAACTTGCCTTCCTTCAATGTATCTCTCACATGCCATTAGAGTTTCCTTCTATAAGTGGGTATTTTGCCCTTCACATCTACATCAGTTTCTTATAGCTAGTTTTTCTGCTTATTTCTATCGTGACTTTAGTTCTTATTTTATTGAGTCCCCTAGCAGAGTATAAACTTTTTGAGGGCAGGAATAAGGTTCTCCATTTCTTTTGTAAGTGCCTTTGAACAGCTAAACAAGTATTCAAAATTCAATTAAAATTTTCCTTATAACAAATTATTTCTCAAGCTCATGGTGAGAGAGCCCTGAACTGAGAGACTTGGGTTTTGCTCTGGCATCTGCCATTAACTAGCTATATGAACTTAACACTGTTATTGAGAAGGTAGCCATTTTATATCTCTAAACCTTACTTTCCTTGTCTGGAAAATGACTGAATTGTGCTGATTGAATTCTAGAAGCTTCCAGTTGGAAGAGATCTTAAATCATCTAATCTAATCCATATCCGATGAAGAAGAATCTTCTCTACAATACTCCTGTTCATCCAAATCCCATTTGAATATTTCAAGTTTATCAGGAACTCCCTCCTTCAAAGGCAGCACATTCCTTTTTTGACAGTTGTTAGCTGATTTTCCCCTACCCCCACCCCTGATTTCAATCTGAAGTCTTGCCTGTCTGCAACTTAAATCCATACCTCCTATTTTGGCTATCTACTAACTAACTCTCTCTCTCTGTCTCTCTTTCTGTCTCTCTCTCTCTCTGCCTCTCTCTCTTCCCTTCCCCCTCTCTCTCTTTCCTGTGTGTGTATAGCCTCATTTGATCCTCATGACTCTATGAAACTGATAGATTATCTATCTACACAAAAATTTATATGTTTATTTATATCCTTAGTTACTTTTCCTTCTATATTATATATGTATATACATACATACATAATACACACACATGTGCACAAATATATATTTCACTTTTGAAATTGAAATTCCTTGTGCAGTCTCATTCACCTCTTAAGTAATTTCTCCATTCTTCCTCATTGGAATAATTTGTGATCAGTGTTGTCAAATCTGACTCTCAAGTTCATTCATCACTCATGAGATGCCTAGTCATATAAAATCTTGTGCTTTAGAATCCTGCCTGTCTTTTTTCTAAATTTTGAATGTACTTTTCTAAAGTTGAGAGTATGTGTTAGAAAATGCTTAATGATTACTTTTTTATGTACAATTAACTCTAATTTAGTATAGTCATTTAATTCCAAGATTCCCTGATTTTCTTATTTTTACCATCAATCTTTCTTTACTGATCAAAATCAGTTTCATCAATTATCATCATTAACATCAACACTCTAGTATATATATAATACACACACACACACACACACACATAGGTGTGTGTGTGTGTGTTTGTGTGTAGTTCTTTGAGATTTGCAAAGCACTTTACCTATATTATCTTATTTGGTACTCACAACAAACCTCAAAGGGTAGATATGTTGTTATCCTCATTTTGCAGACAAGGAAACAGAAGCTGAGAGAGGTAGAGTGATTTGTCTAGGGTCATACAGCTACTAAGTGTCTTATTTCAAATTTGGAACTCAAGTCTTCTGATTTCAAGTCCAGCACTCTATCCACCCAGCTGCACCATTTCCTTTTTAGTCAGAATGCAGTCTGAAATATTTCTACTTACCTCTTTACAATCTTAAGCATGAAACTATTAGCAAGGAAAGCTGAGGATTTCTCTGTTGCTCTGCTTATGCAAGACAGAAATCTCCATCTGCTGTCTGGACAGTTGACATCTTCTCTCACTGAATTTTAAAATGTCTTCTAGTTATATTCTGTCATTCTATAAATGGCAGTAGGTTGTTGTTTGTTCTTTATTCTTGAAGAGGACCATGACATCAGGGAGGTAATGCCATGACATGCAAGTAAATTGGATTTAAGTGAGGGAGGGCTTTGCAAAGTCACCAGCCTTACTTTGTCCTTTTGAAGTGTGTGGGTCCAGTGGCAAGGTATAGATCATGAGGACTGGAGATGGTCTTGGATGTAGAGGGAGACCTTGGCTTTTTTAAGTTAAGGTCTTTCCCAGGTCTCAGTTTGACTGAGGTAATGCCTCATTTAGTGATTAAGGCTAGGTAAGAAATAAGGTAGAGAATGGCTTCTTTTGCTTAGTCAAAAAAGAAATCAATCGAGGGGGTAGAACCAAGATGGCGGAGTAAAAGCAGTGACTTGCTTGAG